GTTACCTCAGGCACTAACGTCACACTTATCTGTACATTCCCTTATCAGACAGGTTATACTGTAAAATGTGTACAATTTAAAAATAAAAAAAATACTTTTTTTTTTCTTTCTAGGAATTAGACAAAAGCTCCCCCTCAGTAGATACGGACACATGGTCTTAAGACGCTTCCGCACTAGCAGACTTTGTTTAGTCTTGCAGGTGTAAACTCTTCCTGAATGTGTGTTGGGTTGGGATAATGGCTCTGACCACCTTGTGACATCCCTCCTCTGCCTTAGGTGTTTGGAGATGATGCTGTGGGACTTGCTCTAGAGGACATCCAGGCCCATGACTTTGGCCAAGTTGGTGAGGTGTCTGTAACAAAGGACGATACCATGCTGCTGAAGGGAAAGGGAGACACAGCAGCCATTGAGAAGCGCCAGGCCGAGATCGCAGAGCAGCTGGAGAACACCACCAGCGACTATGAGAAAGAGAAGCTTAACGAGAGGCTGGCTAAGCTGTCTGATGGAGTGGCTGTGCTCAAGGTTAGTCTGAATGTGGAGGGGATAGGGTGGGGTTGTGTGGAGAACATTACTGTGAGACTGACAGTAGGGGGATTGCCTTGGGATTAGATTTGTTTAGTGCAAAATTTCCCTGCTGAATATTGTCACACTCTTTTTTTAGGTTTTTAAATAAGTTTGTGTAAACTAGAACATTACAACCAAAGGAGGATTTGCATTTGGTTTGAGTTGATCTTGTATTCGCCATGATTAACTGTTGACTTCCAGGTGGGAGGAACAAGCGATGTGGAGGTGAATGAGAAGAAGGACAGAGTGACCGACGCTCTGAATGCCACCAGAGCAGCTGTGGAGGAGGGGATCGTGCCCGGTGGAGGATGTGCCCTGTTGCGCTCCATCCCTGCCCTGGATGCCCTCGAGCCCATCAACGCCGACCAGAAAATTGGTAATGATATTTATTTACCCCACACACACATAGTGCATGTAAGGCCTTAAACCACATTCAAAACAGCCAACAGCCACCATTTCAGATTTACTTAGCCTGCCCCAGTGCCTTGGTCTGTACGCTTGATACCTCTGCTACCACTGTTCAGTATAAAACTGTATTTGTCGTATGCCTCTTGCTCTACGTTAGTTGCCTTTCTCTTTTGCTCGTCAATTTAATTACCGATCATATCGCACTAATTTGTACACTGTTTACGCTGCGATTTATTGGTGTATATTTAGATGCATATTTTTCATTATTTTATTCCCCTGTGCAATTATTGTATAACCTGTGTAATTCATGTGTAACTGTCTGTCTTGCGCCTTCACTTTATTCTTGGCCAGGTCGCCATTTCAATTGAGAATATGTTCTCTGTGCTCACCTGGTTAAAAAAAAGGGTCAATACAGGAGTTACTGTTTTGTTCATTTACCCAGGTGTGTATTATAGCTCAACTTGACATATTTCTCTGTCCTTAAGGCATTGACATTATCAGACGAGCCCTGCGGGTGCCAGCCATGACCATCGCTAAGAACGCTGGTGTGGAGGGCTCCCTCGTGGTGGAGAAGATTCTACAGGCCACAGCAGAGATCGGCTATGACGCCATGGAGGGAAAGTACGTCAACATGGTAGAGAAGGGCATCATCGACCCCACCAAGGTACGGATACTCCAGCCCTTTTCATAATTGTTCAGCAGTTCATTGCTTTGATGGGGTTTCTACTTTAATTTTAGTGCAGGTCAAGGCATAGGCATGTTGGCCAATAATTATCTCTGTTCATACTGAAGTTCTCCGTCTCCCCCTGCAGGTAGTGAGGACCGCATTAATGGATGCCGCTGGTGTCGCCTCCCTACTGTCCACCGCCGAGTGCGTCGTCACAGAGATGCCCAAGGAGGAGAAGGAAGCCGGCATGCCAGGGGGCATGGGTGGTATGGGAGGCATGGGAGGCATGGGCGGTGGCATGTTCTAAGGCCCACCTCAAAGATCTCTACAGACTAAACAGGCGATGGGGGCAAAGTGTCCTTTGACCCCCAGATCTGCCAAAATGACTGGTTGTTGTTTGTTGGAGCTGAAAATGGAGGAAGCCCACTACTGCTGATTGTCTCCATCCACTTCATCTTGAAGATCAGACCAGCCTCTCCTCACCCAACCCCTCTCTTTTCCTCTATCCCCTGAGTGAGACTCTGACTGACCCCTGTCCGTTTACAATCCATCAACATGCAGAATAGTTGTGAATAAAGTGCTGAATATTCAGTCTCTTTTGAAAAATGCTCACCAGTGAATCTTGTCTGCAAGACAGTAACAACCTAAAGTTTGGATGATTAAGCTGACAGAACATAGTCAAGACTAGATTCTATATAGATGTATAGAAGGGTTGCTGGTTAAAGGAATTTTGGCAGGAATTTTCACGTTGGTGTAATGTTTTGTTAATTTCAGTTGATTTTTTTTATCTTATGTCCTGGTCTGCCCACAATGTTAGAAGGGACTGTAACATTCTAGTTAATTAAACAATTCTTGTGAAAGTATGTGCATTTTGTGAGTTTCTGTGATTAACATCTTAATATGATCTTAAGCTGTTGGTGATTTGTAACTGGAAGATGTATGCATATCAGAATTTAATACAAATTTAATAAAATAACGAGACCGGATTTGACTGTCTAGTTTGCAACAATAACTACCCATTACTCTGTGTGTACAGTATCTCACAAGTGAATACTCAACATTTTTGTAAATATTTGATTTTACACTAATGAGTGTACAGCTTGTATAACAGTGTACATTTGCTGTCCCTCAAAATTACTCGACACACAGCCATTCATGTCTGAACCGCTGGCAACAAAAGTGAGTACACCCCACGTGAAAATATCCAAGTTGGGCCCAAAGTGTCAATATTTTGTGTGGTCACCATTATTTTCCAGCACTGCCTTAACCCTCTTGGGCATGGAGTTCACCAGAGCTTCACAGGTTGCCACTGGAGTCCTTCCACTCCTCCACGAAGACATCACTGAGATGGTGGATGTTAAGAGACCTTGCACTCCTCTACCTTCTGTTTGAGGATGCCCTACAGATGCTCAAAAGGGTTTAGGTCTGGAGACATGCTTGGTCAGTCAGTCACCTGTACTCTCAGCATCTTTAGTTAGACAGTGGTTGTCTTGGAAGTGTTTGGGGTTGTTATCATGTTGGAATACTGCCCTGCAGCCCATTCTCCGAAGAGAGATCATGGTACATGTTGGCATTCATGGTTCCCTCAATGAACTGTAGCTCCCCAGTGCTGGCAGCACTTATGCAGCCCTAGACCATGACACTCCCACCAACACACCATCTGAACCAAATCGAACCACAGGACATGGTTTCAACAATCCATGAGCTGTCTGTGGGCTTTCTTGTGCATCATCATTAGAAGAGGCTTCCTTCTGGAACAATAGCCATGAAGACCAATTAGATGCAGTGTGCGGCGTATGATCTGAGCACTGACAAGGCATCCCCCACCCCTTCAACTTCTGCAGCAATGATGGCAGGCACTCGTACTTCTATTTCCCGAAGACAACTTCTGGATATGACGCTGAGCAAGTGCTTTCAACTTATTCTGTTTTGAGTGGTACCCATAGACTGTATAATGTATCCGGTTTTGTCCATTCCACAGGTGAACGTCTTGGCTATGTCAGAATCGGGAAACATTGTTTTAAAAATATCAGCAACCCCCGAGCGTGCCGGGCTCAGGAGGGCGTGCCGGGCTCAGGAGGGCGTGCCGGGCTCAAGAGGGCGTGCCGGGCTCAGGCAGAGTAACGGGCTCAGGGACGGGAATGGACTCGGACGTGACAGTGGGACTGGACATAGGGGCACAAACAGAACAGGCACAGAGAGACAGACGGAGAGACACAGACGGGAACAGGATCGGAGACAAGGACAGGACCGGGATGAGAGATAAGGAAGGGGACGGGCGAAGGGACGAATGCGGGGGCGGAGCCAAGGGCGGAGGTCGAGCAAGGGACGGAGGTCGGAACACGGACGTGCGAAGAGACAGGGACTAGGACGGGATCGAAGAGGGGGACATGGACAGGATCAGAGACCGTGAGTGGGACGGGATCAGGAACAGTGACTAGGATGGGACCAGGGACAGGAACCCAGGTGGGTATGGAGACTCTGGTCGGGGACTGACACTGGGGCGGGGACTGACTCAGAAACAACAGGGATGGCCTAAGACACGAAACGAGCGGTTTGTGTGATAAAACGAACAGTATTTATATCGTTTTACCTCTTGTAACCACATCTGTGTCCAAGTGATCAAGGGTTCAGCGCTTCGGTCTGCACAGAACAGAGATTGTAGGTAAGACGGCTAATTAAAATGGCTAATTAAGATGGTACTAATTTGCGCTTATCCGGGATGTTTAAACCGTCTAAAAGATCTTCACAGTGAAAGATAACACTTCCGAAATCTCTGTGTAAACAATGAGTGACGTACACGTGCTACCGAAGCGCCCGAGCCCTCAGATCACTTGGTCGTGGCTGTGGTTACAAGTGGTAAAAACGATATAAATACTGTTTGTTTTCTCACACAAACCGCTCGTTTCGTGTCTTAGGCCATCAATGTGTACTTACATTTATGAGTAATTAAATCATGTTTAATTTTGACTTCTCTGTGCATGCTCTTTGAGGTGGGGACTCAAGTGACCGTAGACCTGCATTATATGACTGGCAGACAAGAACGGTTTTACCTAAAAATATCAAAATTGAAACTACTGCGGAAACAAAGACACCTACATCTTGGATGCCCTTGAGGTAAGCTAAAACATATCAAAACTTTTTTTCAAAGTGAACAAAACAAAACAATTCCCTATAGCTTAGTCTGTAGGCCTAACTGTTGATTATTAACTGGGGTGATATTAAATCATGAATATCAAAACTGACATGTCGAGACAAAATCTCGACTCGGACTTGCTTCTTCAAAGACTCGGTCTTGACTCGGACTCGACTGTACTCGTCTCGACTCGGACTCGACCTTTCAAAGACTCTGTCTTGACTAATCTGTTTGGAGTTGTGGTTAGTGCGCTCGGCTGTGGATCCGGGCGACGCAGGGTTCGATTCCCCCTACCAGATGCCACATTATATGGGGCGGCAGTGGCTCAGTGGGTTGAGTCGGTTGTCTATCAATCGGATGGTTGGTGGTTTGATCCCCGGTTCCTCCTGGGAAGTTGTCGAGGTGTCCATGAGCTAGACACCTAACCCCAGCTGCTCCTGGCGAGCCTGCAGTCGCCTTGCATGGTAGACACGGTCGTCAGTGTATGAATGGGTGAATGTGACGCAGGAGGATCTGGATGGATCTTTGGATAAAAGCGCTACATAAAAGCGCAGTGTAACCCATGTTAAAATATGACATAAAAATAAATCGTTTATAAAGCTGCATAAATAATTTAGAAGTTAAGGTATTAATTTAATGTAAGTTAATTAAAAATGTTAATACAACAATTTGATGTTTAATATTAAAAGTATGCCGACGGAAAATTCATGTCACTGCCCCTTTAAGGGACCAGTGACGCTAGACGGCGTGTCTCAGTGACGCTAGACGGCGTGTCTCAGTGACATTGCAGCAGAAGACCGAAGGAGAGAACAAGTGTGTTAGTAAGCAGAAAAGAGTGAGAAAGTTGATTCTTATTTTGAAAAACATAAATTACCTGGTCGAGAACTGACAAGGATTTTATGTTTACTAAGCCACACCGGTTTTGGTCAGGTTTTTTTGCTTTGTTTGAAGCTCGGTCGGAGCAAGGATTGGTCTGCACGTGTGGGTGTGCACGTGCTCAGACGGGATCAAGATGGCGAGCCAGACCCAGACTGTCAACTAACCTTCCACATCGCATCAGTGAGAACCTCGTGCGCATGGTGACTCCCTACCAGAGTGGTAGGAGTATCAGGAACTGGTTTTGAATAGATTCTGAACTGGAAATTGATTGACATTCTTTTTGGACTGAATCAAACTGAATCTTTTTATTTAATTGAATAATTGAACTCATACTTGAACGTGAACTTGAATTTAAGTTGTTATACTTTTATTTTCATATTAAGTTCATATAGTTGAATGTGTTTTAAAATACTTGTGTTCCACATTGGTTGATTTGGTGTGAATTGAGGGTATTTTCTTGCCGTAAACGAAAGGAAAAGAGTTACCTCAGAATGGAAAATAGCAATTCTAAAATAGGTCCAAATTAGGTAAAAAGACTGGTCTAACTTAGATTAGCCTTGCTAAAATTACTTAAGTGAACTAAAGAATAAATAGAGTGAAATACCTTTTCATTCATTACTTCAACATTCAGAACCTGCAGTGTATGTTTGCGTACTGTATATTCTATGTTTGTTTTGCATTCAGTAAAGTGCCGGCCTTTTGTATTTAAAGAACGGTCTCTGGTGTAATTATTTTGCTCCCCACTCCTTAGAACCTAGAACTGGTCCAGTGGCGCAGTAAGTGGTGTGACACCGGTGCTACAGCAGCATTTACCATTTACTCGGACTCGGCATAGGCGGCCCTTTGTAGGCGTGATTCTCGTGTTTCTAGAGCTCCAATTTTGGCTGTGTTATCGTGAATCATTTTTTCTAACCCATCAGCTCTCATTAATATTTGCAGTAACCGCCTCAATTATGTTAATTTGCAGTTCCTGCAATGACAAATCTTTTTTATTCTTTTTCGGAGCAGGACTATTTGTCTGGGTCTCCAGGTCAGCTAACATGCTAACTCCATCCTAACCCAAGCTCTCCTGAAGAATCAAGTGGGGCACTGTCATCAGAGTAAGTGTGGTCCTCTGAAGCTAGCTGTGCTCTCTTCCCTTTGCTCTTCCTGCCTTTTGTCCCATCCATTTGTCCAGATTAAGGAAACGAAAATACAGTCTGCTGAGCGAATAACTAATTTGGGTATACTTAAGTACTCAAATTCACTACAACTATTCCATTAGAGAAGGAAAACGCCAAAGTTACTAGGAGCGATACAGATTTGCTTCTATACCTGCCGCCATCTTACTTCCGACCTTCCGGCGAGATTCTGAAGTGCACATACGATGAGAAGGGTATTCCTGCACAACCGGAGGCTGCAGTTTCAGGACCCGAGATGTTTGTGTCAGCGCCACCTACGGAACTGGATTACCAAAAACACTAATTTAAGATAGACGACATGGACACCAATCAGACCATAGAAATATATAAAGAGATAAAGATAAATAGATACTTTACGGTCGAGTTTCTAACGTCATCACCGGCGGCCATCTTTGAACAGGCATGCTTTCTGGCCGGCACTGTGGTACCTTATGTAAGGTGAGTGATCAGCACGAACACAAATACTCTTATCTCGTTGAAATCTTGACGGATTTACAAGCGGTTTGGTTGCTTACAAACGTTATTAACGTGGCTATAATTATGGATGCTTGGAGATGTTGAAATTCCAGCTTTTCTTTTCGAAAAACTTAATCGTGCAGCATAGTTGTGTATCACGACTACTTGTGCATGTCATCAAGGCTGTGAGACCACAATCAAGCTGGTCAATAATATAGGTTCTACTGACCCAAATAACGATGTTATGACAACTCATCTTTTGTCTAAATCACAATCTTTGTGGATGTGGTTGTAGTTATTAGCTGGCTAATAACAAGAAGCTGTGTGTGGTTGGTGTTATTAGCCTAGCTGGCTAATAATCAGAATCTTTGAGTGACAGCTAGTAGCAGCTATTGTTACAGTACAAGGTCAAAGTATTTTTATTTGTCAAATTAACTGTATGACATGCATCATTCTGTACCATCAAAATCTTGTCACAAGGCAAGCATTTTCTACTTAGTTGGTAATAAAAAGTCAAATATAAAGAGCACAACATAACAAAATATACATAACCAGAAATTTTACCTGTTTCTTTTCAATATAACTTAAGTTGCACATGATTTTCAATTGGTTTGGTTTGTTAAAACATCTTGCATTATGATACAGGAAATGCTGTGTCTATAAGAGAAGATGCCAGACTTTTGTGCAGCCTATGGATGCTCCAATCGCCTGAGTCTCAAAACGAGAGCCCATGGGATTACCTTTCACCGGTAAGATTTGACAATAATATGATGATATTCGGGAATCATCACCTTAACGTGGTGGAGAGGTTTGTGTGCCCCTATGAACCTGAGGGCTGGGTTGTCTGGAGCTTCATGCTCCTGGTAGGGTTTCCCAAGGCAAAGTCGTCTCAGGCGAGGGGCCAGACTAAGAATGGTTCACCAAGACCCCATGAAAGATAGAGGGAAAAGGAGCGAGACCCTGCCTGGAGGAAGCCCAGGGCCCTCGTCTGGAGCCAGGCCCAGACGGCGGGCTCGAAAGCGAGCGTCTGGTGGCCGGGTTTGCCACGGAGCCCGGCCGGGCACAGCCCGAACGAGATACGTGGCATCTCTCTCCTCTCCATCCTGTGGGCCCACCACTCACAGGAACAACCGCAGGGGTCGGGTGCGCTGTCATATGGGTGGCAGTGAAGGTGGGGGGTCTCGACGGATCAGACCCGGGCGGCAGAAGCTTGCTTTGGGGACGTGGAACGTCACCTCGCTGGGGGGGAAGGAGCCAGAACTTGTGCGTGAGGTGGAGCGATACCAGTTGGATCTGGTGGGACTTACCTCTACGCACAACCGTGGCTCTGGAACCTTACTCCTGGATAGGGGTTGGACTCTGTTCTTCTCTGGAGTTGCCCAGGGTGAGAGGCGGCGGGCTGGTGTGGGGATACTCACGAGCCCACGTCTGAGCACGGCGGTGTTGGAGTTTACCCCGGTGGATGAGAGGTTTGCCTCCCTACGCCTAAGGGTGGTGGGGGGGAAGACTCTGACTGTTGTTTGTGCTTATGCACCAAACAGCAGTTCGGAGTATTCAGCCTTCTTGGAGACCCTGAAGGGAGTCCTATATAGGGCTCCAGTAGGGGACTCCATCATTCTGCTGGGAGACTTCAACGCACATGTGGGCATCGATGGAGACCCCTGGAGAGGCGTGATTGGGAGGAACGGCCTCCCTGATCTAAACCCGAGCGGTCGTTTGTTATTGGACTTCTGTGCTAGTCATGGATTGTCTATAACAAACACAATGTTCGAACATAAGGAGCCGCATAAGTGTACATGGTACCAGAGCACCCTAGGCCGAAGGTCAATGATCGATTTTGTGATCGTATCGGCTGATCTAAGGCCGCATGTTTTGGACACTCGGGTGAAGAGAGGGGCAGAGCTGTCAACTGATCACCATCTGGTAGTGAGTTGGATCAGAGGGTGGGGAAAGACTTTGGACAGACCAGGTGAGCCCAAACGGGTAGTGCGGGTGAACTGGGAACGTCTGGAGGAGGCCCCTGTCCGAAAGATCTTCAACTCACACCTCCGGCGGAGCTTTTCAGGCATCCCTGTGGAGGTTGGGGGCATTGAACCTGAGTGGGCAATGTTCAAAGCTTCTATTGCTGAAGCTGCGGCGGTGAGCTGTGGTCTCAAGGTCCTAGGTGCCTCCAGGGGTGGTAACCCTAGAACACCGTGGTGGACCACGGTGGTCAGGGAAGCTGTCCGACTGAAGAAGGAGGCCTTCAGGGATATGCTAGCCCTGGGGACTCCGGAGGCAGTTGCAGGGTACCGACAGGCCCGAAGGGCTGCAGCCGCTGCCGTGTCAGAGGCAAAGCAGCGGGTGTGGGAGAAGTTTGGAGAAGCTATGGAGAAGGACTTTCGGTCGGCACCAAAGTGCTTCTGGAAAACCGTTCGGCACCTCAGAAGGCGAAACGGGAACCATCCAAGCTGTGTACAGTAAGGATGGGACACTGTTGACCTCAACTGATGATGTGATCGGGCGCTGGAAAGAGCATTTTGAGGAGCTCCTGAATCCGACCTACACGCCCTCTAGTATAGAGGCAGAGCTGGAGGCTGATGGAGGGTCATCGTCAGTTTCCCTGGGGGAAGTCGCTGAGGTAGTCAAACAACTCCACAGTGGCAAAGCCCCAGGGACTGATGAGATTCGTCCAGAAATGCTAAAAGCTTTGGGTGGGGAAGGGCTGTCTTGGTTGACACGCCTCTTCAACATTGCATGGAAGTCTGGGACAGTGCCAGAGGAGTGGCAGACCGGGGTGGTTGT